AATTGGTTCGTCTATTTGGACGACACTCAGTCAACTCTTCACCGGGTACACTGCACTTTTCAAGCGTTTGGTGACCTACCTCATTGTTTAGCACAGTATCCTTAGTTCTTGTTGTTATACCGCCGATATCTGAATGTTGTTAAGACGATTCTTTTAAGTGAGAAATTTAAATGTTCATCAAATTCTTTATATTTGTCAAATGTTGTTCCTTCAGGCTGTGAAGCAACGCTGTATTGAACCTCAACATGAGCAGCTCTCCTCTGATGCTCGCACATTCGACAGATTGTGAGAGACTTTAGCAGCTGGTGTGTACATCAGAATCTATTCGTTTATGATGTAGTTTAGGCCATGAGCGCCGTACACGTTTCCAATAAACAACTCAGTTGTCTAATTTTTTAGCTGCTGAGTTGAGTTCACATATACTTAAAATTAACCTGGCATAATTATGGTTTCATTTTAATTCGTCGACATTGGACTACGATGGCGTCTGTCATTATTCTGGAATGAAATCAGAGGATTAAGAGATTACGCAATTCTGTTCTTGATTAAAACATTGCGTTAAAGCTACTCCTTGCCCTAATGCGTGTGTAGTGAGCTCTAGTGAAAGTACTCCGTACAACTTATGATTGATGTATCTCAAGATTGACGATTTGGCAGTCTCGCATTCACGCAGTTTAGAATCTGGACCAGCTATTAATTTCTTTCAGCTTTACTGATGATTGTCATTGATAGAATTGCTCAAGAGAGTGCTTTGCAATCTTTCTTCGAAGTTCTAGCAGTGCTGGGCTGTAATATATCTGGCACGACGCTGTTGCAGGCAGGAGAATAAATGATGTCACGAATGGCAGTTCAGGATAATCTTTGCATTTTTTGTCGTAATGAATAATATTGTACCTTATGTACTTTTGTAAAAGTTCAGACCAGTCCCTTCGGTCAATTTTTGTCATAGCTTATGTGTATGACAGGCTGCTTCGCGAACTGATGTGTTAAATAGGCACAGTATTAGATGTAAATTTATTGGAATTTGTTGAAGAACACCAAAGTTGCACAAATGGTCGATGTTGTTGAATGCTGTATCTAAGAATATAAACTCTAAAAGGTGAAGTTTCATTTTCTTACTCTTCATTATTACTATTCTGTACTGAGTCAGATGGGTTCTTTTCAGCTGTTGTAGGCAAGTGTCTCCATTTGGGTGGAGTTTGCAATTAACGATCAAAATATCAAAAGCTATCAAAAAGCATCAGCATTACACTTAAGATTCAACTGGCAACCTAATTTATAACCATTTATGAATTAAGCCCCTGGAGTCACCTACTGGCTTTTGCAGGCATTTTGTACTTTCATAATGGCCGCCTTTGAAACTAGCAAAATCTGCAGCTGCGGGTATGGCATAGAAAGGTGACGATGTCATGCATATTCTTTTGCTACATTTAGAAGCACTGCTAAACTTCTGAATAACTAAAGTGTTTTTGTGATTTTGACATCTAATGCCGAAATTGCGAATCTTGTATGAACCAGCTTTCTAGTTTTGAGCTGGAGTTATTCATTTCGATGGCTGTTCTGAAAGTCAGGTTTTCACAGGCGATAATAGAAAATCGACTGTTTAGAAAATTTTGAGACTCAGATGACTTCCTTAACGAGTGATATACGAAGTCGATTGGTTTTGTTTTTGTTTACCATGAATGCAGTGTTGGTCGACCTGGCGGTAGCACCCTGGACTTGTTTTACTGATGGATGGCTCTGGTTGGCAAATTCACGTGGTGGAAAGAGTGGTTACGTGGCCCACGTAGCTGATGTATCTAGCACTTGTTGTGACGCGGATTTCGAGACTGATTAACGTCGAATTGTTGTTTGTCGATCATGGCTGCTCTGAACGAGGGTTTTCAGAGCTAGCATTTTTCATAAGTAATATCGTATTGATCCATTTTATTAATGCCGATTATTTAATCTTGAGGCCATTCTTCGCCACCCGTATCTCATTCTCATATACCTCCATAGCTTTGTAACCAACGCCAACGAATAACAGTATGCAGTGCATGTGAAACTGAAACTTTGGGTTAACTCACTTCCTTCAGCATCTCATATATGTTTTTGTTTATTGTAGTCATAACTGAGCCGTTTACTCAAGCAGTGCATCTCTAATTTTCGATGTCCGCTGCATTCTCAGACCAGGCGATTTCCAACGTAACGAAATGCTTGGCAGCGCGAACTACGGTAAAGCGCCGAACTCTCCGTTTTTCCTGCACGTTGCAGGACAGCTAACGAGGGTTTGGCTATGGCCCTGCTTCGGACCAATCATCCACTCAGCGGATTTATTTCTGATTACAGAAATCGTATTCAGTTTGTTTTTTGGACGGATTTGAAGGAAGCGAAAGAAGCCGCGTTCTAAGCTTTACAGAACTTTTGCTATAAGGCACAGACTACTGCATTACTGCATCGTAGAAACAACTACGCTTTAAGCGCAAATTAATTCTACGTTTATGATTACTATGTATGCAGTTATTTAGATTTAGTTTAATTTTAAAAAATACTGTTCACTCTTTCTTTCGTTATGTACTAACGCGACTGTTATACAATGTAAACGTTTAATTTAATATGTAAATGAGGCTTTGCATGATTTGTTAAATAGCTAAAGTTTCATAATGAGGTGATTCTCTTTTCGTTTTGACTGTATATTCATCTATTCACTTCTACTAAAGTGTTCCTTAAGGAACATAACAAATAGCTTTCTATTATAAGAACAGAGAAAGATATTCAGAATTAACATTTTTTAGTCAGCGAAGTACATCACATAACGGAGACAAGGCGACGGTGACTTTTTCAGACGCAGTTTGGATTGCCACAGCTCCCTTTCTTTTCTACTGCGATCAATTAAGTGTCTAACAGTAAAATGGGTAACGGGCATCCTATAAGCCCTAGTCTGACTTTTATAAACCCCGCAGCTTGACCGATTGCTTGCATTGTTCGACAGGGACAATTTTAGGTGCTGATGTAAACGATGAGCTGAGTCAGCCATTATCGCCTTGCCAGTGTCTTGGCAGTTGTTTTCTAACATTGTGGTAAAATATAGGCTAGATTCTGTGACAGTCAACAACCAGTCACGATATGAAGAAGAAAAGCTATATTCGCTTAGACAGAAAGATTACTATCAATAAGTTACAATATTTCCATAAATTATCATATAATCAGTCAGTCAATTTTGATGACCGCTTGTCCTTTCGGACCATGTTTCCAACGTTCCCGATCCTGTGCCAGGGTTTGAGTATCGGCAGAAGACGATCTTAGTCTGTAGCATAGGATTTCGATACACTTGCCCCTGGTTAATCTTGATCATCCCTGGGGTTTTCCGCCGGTCGGTTGGGCAAACAATAATGGCTTTCTTCCTTTCGCTACACGTACCCAAACCATCGCTGTTGTGACTTCTGAATCTGTTGAAGCAGCTTCCATATAAGTATAATAGATAATATAGCAATCAAAGAGCCGAATGCCTGGCACGTGGCGATTGCGAACTTTCTACAGTGATGTGATTCTGTTCCTCTAGATTTTTTAACGTCTGCTGGACGGAAAAGACAGTATTTACCTGCTTCTGATATATAAACGCAATGAAAATTTTCGCCTGAACTTAATATCAAAGGGACAATTGTCATCCATCTGCACTCGACTTGTCGAGTGGTCACCTTACGAAAAGTTTTGATTGGATGGGATGTGTGTGATATACTCTGAGTAGGTTTTCATTCCACGCAGAGCCGAGCTGGCAGTCACGTTATTCACAAATTAAACGCCCTTAATTGGATGCTGTTGCTCGCTGGGGGCTTCAGAATAAACCTGTTTCATATTCGATGGTCGGAGACGAAATAATATTCGAGAACTGTTATTAACAGATTAGCATTTGCTCCACACCAACGACGATATGATGATCTGTCTGTTTGTCGCTGTGCCTTCAAACACTGAATTAGAAAGAAACCTTTTATTCGTTTTATCAGTTTCCCTAAATCGATACGAACTTACGAAGATCCTATGGTGGTGGCGTTAATTCACTTTAATCGTCGGGTATTCCGCAACAAATGACACTGTTTGATCATCGCTTATGAAGTTTTGCTAGCCATTGGCATAGTTGACTGTCGTTTAGCAAATTTCGTATAAATTGGCCCCTGAATTCGGCCCTGTATTCTATTAAAATAGTCTCTTGTATCCTTTGAAAAACAGACATCTTATCGCAACGTAGCGTTTTTTATTCAAAGGGGCGGATCATTTTCGAATCGAGATGAGATTGTCATTGGTAAATTTGCCTTTTCTCTGAGGATCCAACTCAGCCATGCCCTGATAGTTTTACCTTTGTCTGTCCCACGTTTGTTTATTTGTCGCAGCTAATTTGCTTATTTGCAGGTCCTTTCCCTATCCCCATCTCGGGGGCATGCCAAATGGCCATTAGCTTGGCACACTTGATGGTGTTGATTAAATTTTTTTTAATTTGCGTTGTTGAAGATTGCCGCAGCGTGTTCATTGAACGAATATCCTTAACAGTTTTTCGTTCCAACCGAATCATATTTGTATTTGTCTTCTTTTTCATGACCTGGGCATGGAGATCGACTTTTACTGCACTTTACATATCAACGTCAGCTATGCAGTCTCGTCAGCATTTGCTATTCTTGTACGGTGTTCCCCATTCCTTCATTCGTCATGTATTTCTCGTCAATTAGCGGTTGCCAGGGAATGATTTTGCCAAACTTTATTTCCTGCTCTTACGGATGAGAGGATGGACTACGATCTAACTATTGCTATTTATTATTGCTTCAGTAGCCTTACACGTCGTCCAGTCTTCTGTGCTATTTATTGCCACCTGCGCTCTAGTTGGTCACCGGCTAATCGATCCCAGGGCGGTGCGAAGTATCCGTCGGTCGTTCTTTGTCGATGAATAATCGTTGGTGTGCTTGTGAAATTGATGTCTAGTTTTTTACGGACCGGGTGTAAGTGTCAGTATCGAAGCGTTTTTGGTGTCAATGTTAATTTTGTCGGATCGAATCGAATCCGAAGCGCTTCGACTGCTTTTGCTCGCTGTGTCCAACTGACAACTGCTCACATCTTAGATGTTCGTGTTTAGCGTGCAGCAGAGGATTATGTCGTCTCTGCATTCAATGGCAACGCCATGAGTCCGCAGACACCCGGCAAGCACATGGACAGTGACGCTAAAAAGGTAATAACGATTTGACCATGTCCATATATGCATCGTCCGTATCATTCGTTGGCATTCGTAGGCTAAATTGGATCAGTGTGCAGCGGCAGCAACAACGGCAACGGCTACGGCTACGGCGACGGTGGTGGCGGCTACCGAAAATGTGTCCCCCGTCAATTTGGTCGACGTTGGAGAAGAACGTTCATGCGTTGTGCACCTAAGGAACCTGCCGGCCGACATGACCGATGTCGAGTTGATTCAAATGTGCATCCCTTTCGGCAAGGTCACCAACTTCCTGCTTTTAAAGGCCAAAAATCAGGTCGGTAGATGTGCATCTGGCTAAAAGCGGATTTGATTTTATCCTGCAGCGATGCGACTGATGATCTGTTTGTGTTTTATTCTTTAGGCGTTCCTGCAGTATGAGGAGGAGTCGAGCGCCGCCGCCCTCGTCTCCACGTCTCGTACGTCGACCATCACTCTGCGCGGCAGAACTGTATTCTGTCAGTTTTCAAACCACCATGAGCTGAAGACCGACAACAAAAACGCGTTTAACGTCGTCGCTTCCGTAAGTAACTCATAATTCGTCGTTCGGCTTGCTTTTGCAGGTGTACATTTTTTGCACTTTAAACGTTCATTACAAATTTTGCCTGTTTTATTTGTTTTTGTACGCTTTTTATTCTTTTATTTAACGAACAAAGTATGGCACCGGTTGCAGACCAAAATACATTTTATTCGTTGTATTAATTTTAACCACGAGCACTTCTTATGAAAATCTTATATTGTTTACTGCTTGAACAAAATCGCCGCACAATTCTGCCTTTTAGCGTAGGTGAAAGTAACTAATCGCAGATTTATTAATGAGCCAAGTAAGCATGAGAGGAAAATTCCAGTGCTATTAATGGTCCATCTTTGGATGCACCATCAGATTTCTTAAGAATCAGACTTTCGTTATGGCTTATATCTTACTGCAGGTACTAGCCCTAAAGTGTTTGGCTTTGTAGG